TTCTTTCTGGGATTGGGCATAAAGAAATGCTGTCCACTGTCTCCATTTTCATTTGATAAAGTATTAGAAGTCCTATCAACAGCAACCATGCAGGTAAAAAAAAATCAAAAACTAGAAAATAAGTCAAACTACTATTATTTGCAGAAGATGACACTAAACATTGAGACCCTAAAGAGTGCACTAAAAGACTCCTAGACACAATAAATTAATGCATCAAAGTAGCTGGCTACAAAGTCAATGTACAAAAATAGGTTGCATTCCTATATGAAAACAATGAATTAGAAGAGAAAGAGATCAGACTGTAGAAAGATACAGTAGATGGCCTCAGGAAATTAAAAAAAACTATTCCAAGTTCAAAGGGACAACAAATGGCCAAAGTCATCATAACTGAAGATTTTGTCCACATAACTAAGCTTACACAGGGAAGGGTGAGAGAGGGGTCCTTGAAACACTGGTAGAGAGAAGCGGGTACTCGGGTGATGAGTGTGGTGCTGGAATGAACATCCTGGAAAAGTATAGTGAACAGTATCATAAATCCTTGTACCTCAATAAAAATAGTTTTAAAAACTCAAATGGGCAAGCAACAACAGAGTTTTCCGAAACCATCAACAAAAACATTTACCTATACAGTTCTAAATTAATTAATGATATGGACACTCAGTAAGACTGGGAATAAGTAAGATTAAGAGTTCTTTTCTGAAAAAAAAAAGTAGGAAAATTCTCCTTGCAGATGAATGGAAATAGTCAGAAATAACCTAAGGTTCCAAAAGCTTATTCTCACTCAGAGAGGGCCAATAATCAGGAAAGAACATGTTTACAGATCTGTACATACTCCCCCCAACACACTGTTTCTCCCTCTCCCCCCCCCCCCCCACACAGAGGTGATAGGTGACCATGAACTGCAGAAAATGGAACAGCAATATAACATTTACATAGTTGTTTGGAAAAACAGTGTTTGCTTTTCAATGATCTCAAATGCCTGAAAGAAGTTCACCTGCCAGAAATAAAATTTAAATTTCTAGATGAAGAATAAAATTGAAATAAAGTAAATAATGCTTTTCAGTGAATACTTTTAAGATAATACTTAAATGCACAAGACACTGGAATGCAGTGTGAGGTTTGTTACCTGATTTGCTCTGCAATATTGGAGTAGCAAACCCAGCTCACTTTCCCTTCAACCTCACTCCTAACCATTCTGTCCCCTACAATTTCCTGATCATGGACCCTATTATCTATATGTGTGTAAATTACTGTGCCAAGAATACACTGACTATATATTATAAATTACATATCAGGGACCAATTATATTTAATGCATTCCTGAGATTAACATCTGCAAACCATACTTCAATCCACTACTTACTTTCTCTCAGGAAATGGAAAGCATTCTAATATGATGACTTTGGCCATTTGTTGTCCCCTTACTATGTTTATTTTTTATCTCATATTTGGGATAGAATTGGAATAATCCCTCTGCTCTCTCTCCATTTATTCTGGAAGTGGTGATATGACACCTACATATAGGTGAATAAAGTTAATTTGAAGTTTCACAAAATTGTAAATGAATGATAAATTAACAAAGTATTTTTTTCAAAAACTATATCTTTTTGACAGAATATACTTTTAAAGTTAATAGATCCCAGCAAGCTACCAAGAGTATCTCGCCCACACGACAAAGCCTGGCAAGCTACCCGTGATGTATTCGATATGCCAAACACAGTAACAAGTTTCACAATGTTACTGGGCCTGCTTGAGCAAATTGATAAACAATGGGAGGACAGTGACAGGACAGTGATTCTATGTTCATGGATTGTAAGAATTAATACGGTCAAATGACCATTCTACCTAAATTATTATGTAGATTCAATGCAATACCCATCCAAATTAGGATGGCATTCTTCAAGGACTTAGAACAGTCAATAACAAAGTTTGTATGAATAAAAAACACCTCAAATAGCCAAAGCCATATTAAGAAATGGGGAGTTATTTCATTATATAACTTGTGACTATACTATAAAGCAATGAAAATCTAATAGTATGGCTTAGGAATAAGGTTAGACTCTCTGAGTAATGGGGTACAACTGAGTGCCCAATGCCAAATCCCCAGATCAATGATCAACTAATGTTTGACCAAGGAGATAGATACATAAAATAGAATAAGGATAACTTTTTCAAAAATTGATGTTGGAAAAACTGAATAACCACATATAAAAAATAAAACAAGATTCATACCTCACACCTTAGACAAACACCAAATCAATGTGAATCAAAGTCCTTTAGAACAGAACAGAATCCATAAAGTACGCTGAGGAAAATATAGGCAGAATATTTCACGATATGGATCTTAAAAGTGTTTTCAATGAAATGATGCCATTGGCAAAGGGAACAGAAACAAAAAATAAACAAATGGGAGCAATCAAATTAAATAGTTCTGTATGGAAAAAGAAAAAGCTAAAATTAAAAGTCACTCAATTGAATGTAAGAAAAAACTTAACAACAGCAACAACAGCAACAAACCGAAAAAAAAAAAAAACCCTACCATAACATGGGGAGAGAAAATAAATAGCCACGTCTCTGAAGAAGAAGAGTGGCCAATATATACATGAAACCGTGCCTATTTCTCAAAAGAAACAGTGACCAAAATACAAAGACCGTCTACAGAATGGGAAAGGATATTCACCTAACACCAATCCGACAGGGGTTGATATCAAGGATATACAGAGCACTGGTTGAACTCCAAAAGAAGAATCATCCAACCCCATCAAAAAATGGGGTGACGAACAGAAACTCTGTCAAAGAAGAAATCTGAATGGCTAAAAGGCAAATGAGAAAATGCTCTACATCACTAATCATTAGGCAGATGCAGATCAAAACAACAATGAGATATCATCTCACACCACAGAGACTGACCCACATCCAAAAGAACAACAGTAACTGGTGTAGGTGAGGATGTGGTGAGAAAGGGACCCTCCTTCACTGCTGGTTGGAATGCCAACTGGTTCAGCCCTTTTGGAAGACAGTATGGACGATTCTCAAAAAATTAGAAATTGAGCTCCCATTTGACCCAGCAATACCACTCCTGGGAATATATACTGGAGAGGCAAAAAAAAGTACAGTAGAAATGACATCTGCACTTGTATGTTCATTGCTGCACTATTCACAATAGCCAAAATTTGGAAAAAACCTGAGTGCCCGAGAACAGATGACTAGTTAAAGAAACTTTGGTACAGCTACATAATGGAATACTATGCAGCTGTTAGAAAAGATGAAGTTAAGAAATTTACATACAAGTGGTTCTACATGGAAAGTATCATGCTAAGTGAAATGAGTCAGAATGAGAGGGAAAGATACAGAAAAACTGCATTCATATAAAGTACCACCCAAGAATAGTTGAGACAAACATCCAAGAACAGTTGAGATAAGAACCAGGAGGTCTGCTCCACGGTTTGGAAGCTGGTAGCACATACTGGGGGAAAAGGCAGCTCACATAGAGAAGGGGACATCAAGTAAAGGATGTTTGGAGGATTCACTCGGGATGCAAGATGAGTGCTGGAAGTAGACTATAGACTGAACACGATGGCCACTCAATACCTCTATTGCAAACCACAACACCCTAAAGGAAAGAGAGAGCAAAAGGGAATGCCCTGCCACAAAGGCAGGGTGGAGGGGATGGGGTTGGGGGATGGGAGGGCTACTGGGTTCATTGATAGTGGAGAATGGGCACTGGTGGAAGGATGGGTGCTCAATCATTGTACAACTGAAATGCAGGCATGAAAGTTTGTAAGTCTAAAAATAACTTTAAAAAAGAAAAGACACCGTGCTTATTAATTATTACTGTCAGAGAATCCAAATCAAGACGACAATGAGATATCATATCACACTAGGAATAATGGCACATATCAAAAATACTGGGGATAATATGTGTTGGTGGGGATGTGTGAAAAAGAAACTCCCATCTACTACTAGTGGAAGTGTTGTATGGTTTAACCCCGATGGAAAGTATTATTAAGATTTCTCAGAAAATTTAGAATAGAGTTGTCACATGACTCAGAAATTTTATTTATTTATTATCTACCCCTCAAGGCACACAAATATCCATTTAGAAGACATGCACACCAGTATTCATTGCAGCATTTAGCACCACAGCAAGGGCATGTAAGCAACCTAGATATCAATAACAGATGAACGAATAATGAAGGTATGTTACAGATACACAATGGAATATGCTGCTACAAGGAAGAATGAAATCATGCAATTTGCTGCAACTTTGAGGACAGTGTGTTAAGTGAAATAAAAAGAAGAAAGACAAATTCCAGATGATCTCACTTCTCTGTGGTGTATGGAATTAAAATATAGGAAATGCAAGTTTTCAAAGGAAATGACAGATAGATTACCCTGGTCTTGACTACAGAACTAAGAAGGAGAGAGAAGAAAAAAATTGAAAGGAGAAAGTAAGAAGGGGCAGATGGGATATAACAGGGGGAACTGTAGACACGGGCGGAGGGAAGCTGATACTGGTGATGGGCAACTGTATACCTGAAACTCAACTATGAAGAACTTTGTAATCACAAGAATGTCAGCCATCTTTCACGCCAAACAGAAGCAATCAATACACTGAGACATTGTTAAATGTCTCCGGTGGTGAAAAATCATTTTTGGTTGAGAATCACTATCCTACACACAAACCATTTTATAAGTAATTTTTGGTTATCCTTCCATTTTCTTTCTGATTAATAAGAGTATCTGAGAACACCTATACAGGTTTTTAATCTTGCTTTTTCTTAAACAAAAGAGGATATACTACATGTAATGTTCAGAACCTTATCATTTTCTCTTAATAATGGGGCCTTAAGTTAATTAAAGCATTTCACATAATATTTACTCTATTTCTTAGAGTATATGAGTAATGTAGGAGAACTGATATTTTTACACATTAAACTGTTTAGACTTAAGTGTGTATCTTAAAATTCTATAACAGTTTACCTTTTATTGAACATTTACCTTGCACATTCATTTGGTTCTTCTGTGGCATTCTTCAGTAAAATATTTATGAGGTAATGCTAAAAACACAAAATTAAGTAGAATAAAAAGTTTGTTTCATAGTTAATCTTTCCCACGCTTGACTGTTCCTGGCAGCCAGAGCTCAGGAGGCCCCAGAGCGCCCTCCCCGGAGAGCACAGCCACGGGAGGCAGCGCAGAACACCTGCTCCCCGTGCAGTCAGGCCAGACTAGTGGTTCTTGGCATAAAAGATAAGCCTGACGAAGTGTACGGCAATACTAGGTAGGGAAATCTCAGTTTTTACATCCGCTTACTTCTATAGTGTACATTATCCACTGAACACATCTATAGTAAATGAAGACAAATATGTAATTTAATTGATGCTGGGATTTGAAAAGCATTTCTATCTGCCCCAGTGTTAGCTGGGGAGAGAACAAACGTGTACTTTTGTTTTCCAAGAGATGATTGGGATTTTTAAATTAGTTGTAATATTTAGTCAGGCCAATACTGAGAGAAAGCATTTTACTTTTTTCATAATTTCTTTTAAGTTCATTTGTTGTACTAGTGTAAAATAATTAGTAAAATTATTGCTCGAGTAAAGTAAAGGCCCTCCCATTGATCATCGATTTGCTCGAGCGGGCCCAGTAACGTTTCCATTGGAGACTTTGTTGTTACTGTGTCTGGCATATCGAATACGTCACGGGGAGCTTGCCAGGCCCTGCCGTGCGGGCGAGATACTCTCGGTAGCTTGCCGGGCTCTCCGAGAGGGGCGGAGGAATCCAACTCGGGTCGGCCATGTTGGCTGCGTGCAACGCAAATGCCCTACTGCTGTGCTATCGCTCCAGCCCAGTAAAATTATTACAATGGATAATTAGATAATAATGGTACAGAGGAATGGCAAACAGATCTAAGAATAGGAACCTACCAATCAGTTATAACTTCATCATGCTCTGAATCTAACACATTTAACTCCCATAAAATAGTCCTTTAAATGACATAAGAAGATCAATGTATAACAATGTAACCAAAGGGTACAACTGTAGAATGTTAAACCTGGAATTAGTCCAATGCATCATGTACCTTGATATCTTCTGGTCCTGTAATGACCTCGCTGACTTCTGGCACTGACTGCAGCAAGGGGACCTCCCGGTAGGTATTGGGAAAGCAGACAAGAGAACCGAGGATGGTGAGAGCTTCTGAACGAGGTGCCTGCACATGGAAGAGGAACATTGTCTTCTTTTGGTTAAGTGAGAAACATTAAATGAATAGCTTGTTAGCTTTTCATTGTTTAAAGGGGGGCAATCTTTGTAATCATTTTGTCCTCTACAAAAATACTGTACTTGCAACTCAGTGGTATAGCCCTTCCCTTGCAAGTATAATATTCCAAGTTTGATTCCCAACATGGCCAAAAATGAAGTAATCTCAAAGAAATATAGTACTATACCTGGTTACTTCCCCCATACAAATATTTAAACAAGATGGGTTTTATAAAGGAAGAAGCAAATTTACAAAGAATGCAAAACAGCACTAGTCTTGGGAACAAAACAAGAAAACTGATGTGCAGAGCCATTCTGTCAGGAAGGTAATGACACCATCATGATTGTTGTACTTATATTCGTCAGTGTCATGGGTAGAAATCAAAGCAGAGTGAAATGTATCTACTTAATGTTATTTCTTCTGTTAAGAGAGTTAACAGAAATGTAACAGTGTGGGATTGCAGCCAAGTAACAAAGGTAGAAGAAGAGAGAATATTTATCACCAAATTTCCTATTCATCAATAATCATGAAACGATGGGGGAAGGAGCTGATATTCTGGTGGCAGGTGGTGGTGTGCTAACAAGGTATTCCTAAAACATGTTGAAAAACATGGTGCCAAAATAAGTTTACAAAACACTTTGCAAAATAAAAGTGTCTGAAACAAAGATATAAATACAATCACCACTATTTTCCCATTACTGTAATTATGCATGTATTAAGGGAGGAACTCCATTAACTGAAACCAAGGCAGCGGGCACATAAGGTATTACTTCCTTCATTTTGTGCCAGGCACTGTTATGGATGCTGCATAGGTTCTTAAAAACCCAATAGAGTGGATACTAGAAGCAGTTCCATTACACAGGTGAAAACAATGAAGTTCAAAAAGCTAAGTAGGGGGTAGGGTGCCACTAGCAGGTCTATCTGTACCTGTGAGGCAAGTGCATCGGCAGCCTGAATGCGCCTTCAGACTTCCAGATACCCCTAAATTGCTGTTGTGCCTTTGTCCAGACCCCAAAAACTTAGGGCAAAGTTTACCAAGAAAGTAAACGGCCAAAAGTTAGGTATGTGGGAAACACACCCACAAACCACCTCAGGCTCAGCTATATACTTGGAGGTATGGCCTCTCTGGTTCCTGATTGAACTGCTTAACGGCCATGATCCCAGAGACTCAGAAACAAATCTTGAAACCCAATGGCTTTTGGCAGAAATGCGTCCGGTCCCTGCAGTAGGTCACCGGTGGTCCCTGCAGTAGGTCCCAACCCAGGTGGGATAGGTTTTGTGCCTTGGCCTGTTCCCCCTGGCAGCCCAGTGGCCACCATCCTTCAGAGACCACTAGACAGTCAGGTTTGGGCCCCCAGTGTCAAGGCACGCAGGGCCTCACGGGATGGGGGTAGAGCCGGTCCTGTTCTCCCCACACCAACGAGACCCCAAGTCATCACCCACAAATGGCCTCTCTGGCTCCTGATCAAGCTGCTTAACGGCCATGATCCCAGAGATTCAGAAACAAATCTCGACACCCAGTCGCTTCTGGTAGAAATGCGTCCGGACCCCACAGTACATTACTGTTGCCAGGCCACCCCAGGGGGAAAGGGTGTTGTCACTCCGCCTGCTCCCTCTTGGTGGCTCGGTGGCCGTCACCCTCCAGAGGCCATTGGACAGTCAGGCTTGGGCCCGCAGTGATGAAACTTGTTGGGCCTCACGGGATAGGGGTGGAGCCGGGCCTGTCCTGCCCACCCCAACGAGACCCCAAGTCATCGCCCACGAACGGCCTCTCTGGCTCCTGATCAAGCTGCTCAACGGCCATGATCCTAGAGACTCAGGAGCAAATCTCGAAACCCAGTGGCTTTTGGCAGAAATCCCTCCAGATTTAAGTGTTAAAATTTTGGAATTTCAAAATCACATGGCCCTACTGCAGCCACGTGACATCACATGTTATTCATAACCAGCAATAGAACACAAATTGTCTATTGCTGCCTTTTCAGCAGATCCTAGTGTTGGGGTAAAATTTCAAATAATAATGGTGGGTCTGGTGCCAAAATATTGAATGTGTTCAAAGTAGAGAGAGAGTAATGTGGAAATCATCTGCCCCACAGGTAGGGGAAGGGTGTGGGATTGGGGTATACTGGGGTTTTTGGTGGTGGAGAATGGGCACTGGTGAAAGTATGGGTGTTTCATTGTATGACCAAGACTTAGACCCAAAAGCTTTGCAACTGCTCTCATGCTGATTCAATAAATAAAATTATAAAAAAATTAAAAAAAAAGTAAGGTGGAGTTCATGCACAATTCAATCAGCTAATCAGGGGCTGAAGAAATAGCAGTACTCCTACATTTAAAAAAAAAAAGCTAAGTAGTCCATAAGGGATGGCCTTAGAATAAAGCCATAATTCAGTTTCACCTGGGGCTTATGTCCTTAAGCACTTGAAAAATAAAATAAAACAGCTCTTCTCCTATTCGCTCCCTCACTGACTCACCCAAGTTTTATGGAATCCTGTTTTTATTAACTATATAAACCATGTAAGTATGGATAATAGACATATATTTATTTAAAAACATTGTTTTCTGCAACCTTCACCTTTAGTTATGTGACTCTGTATCGAACCACAGTCTGCGTTTTAAAGAAGCTAGATAGTAAGGGATGAAGTAAATACTAATTCTATATAATTCAGTGAACATGTACTCTACATGGTGAGGGACAGACACACTATGATCTTTCTCACAGGTGGGACTTAAAGATAGCAAAGCAGCAACAAAGGTCCAAAGGCAACATAATGAGAGAATGATCCACAGAATTGACTTGGGGGTAGGGAGCTTGGGAGGGGCGTAGAATCCTCGGGAGAGGGAGGGGCTACACTGGTGACTGGTGTGGTGTTGGAATCATGTGTATGAAAAAAAAATATTATTAATAGTATTGTACACCACAGAACTGTTCGCCACTCAATGCCTCTTTGGCTGATCACAGCGCCCAGGAGGAGAGAGAGAACAGGGGGGAATGCCCTGCCACAGTGGCAGGGGGGGATGGGGGGATGGGATGATGGGGGGGGAGGGATATTATCCTGGTGGTGGAAAATGGGCACTGGTGGAGGGATGGGTATTTGATCGTGGTATGACCGAGATCCAAGCACAAAAATTTGTAAATCTACAACTGTACCTCATGTCGTTTCACTAATAAAAAAGAAAAAAAAATTATAAAATAAATGTAAAAAAGAAATATACTTGGTCATGGGAACCTAATATGTTTATCTTTTTTACTTACTTTTTTGGTTTGTTTTTTCTTAAATCAGTTCATAAGTAAATAAAAGACAAAAAAAAAGACAAAGAAATTCTCTGGGTCCAATAAGAAGCAATGATTCGTTCTGTTGAGGATGGTTAAGAGACATTAAAACCACTGGTTAGAGCCACACTGGAGAACAGAGGTCAGAGACATGGAACAAGGGAGTCTCCTGAGGAGCAACCGTGCGTCTCAAGCAGTGTGGATGGCAGAGTGAGGTGCGATGAGGTGTCCGCGGGGCTCTGAGACAACATACAGAGATGATCCTGGGAGCATGAATGCAGGCCTGGCGAATTCCAGGAAAAGGAGTTCTGACAAAGGCACAGGAACTTGGGAAAGGACCCTCAGGACATGGGGCATTTTCTCATCTCATTCAGTCTGAGGAGGCAATGGCAGCAGTGGCAGCTAAGATCTAGTCTTAGCAAGAGTGTGGGATGGCTAGAGGATATCAGAAAGAGAACAGCACTCAGGGAACAGTGATGACAATTTGGTAGCCTGAATTGAGGTGATATCATCAGATATGAAGCCACTACACCACTTAGGCTTTGTTTCATTTTGTCTTTAAAAAAAAGTACCAATATTTGAAACTACTACAATAAAATGTCAAAGTGACGCCTGGGGATGTGGCTCACTAGCTCTTGCCTTGCATGTGTGAGATCCTGGATTCAATTCTCATGCTGCAAAAAACAACAACAAAAAACCCCAAACACACAAACCAAAAAAAAAAAAAAACCCAAACCAAACCAAAAATAAAACCAAAAATGTATAGTGAATGTAGTTTCTTGCTACATGATTATGACACAAAACCCAATCAATGGTCACCATCCAGGCTTTATCCCACCTGACAAGTTAGTGGCACTGGATGTAGCTGACAGGAGTTCTCCAAGTGGAAACACTTGAACCATTCACTTTTCTTAGTTCCTAAAGAAGTCTGACAGAGTCTGTGCCGGAACTCTCATTTCCTTAGGTTTTAAACCCCGGGACAGCTCTTTTCAGCTCTTCTCTGTTTCCGTCATAATTACTCCCAAGAAGTACCCAGACCCATTGGTGAGTGCCTTCTACATGTAGTTGGCTGGGAGACTATCTCTCTAGCTTAGAGCTCCTTTTTGTAGGCAAGATTTGTGGGTTTGGCATCTCCACTCACTCAGGGGGTCAAAAAGGCATCTTGCACTGACTACCACAGATTCTTCTGTAGTTCTGGATAACAGAACCCAGACTTTATCACTCTGCCCTCTTGCTTTTTGCTTTTACTTTCCTTTGTTTTTATGTTTAAAAAATCCTTAAATACAAAGTAGAGAGAATATTATATCCATATTGTCAACACCAAGTTTCAAGATTAATTCACTTGCTTTATTTTCTTTCAATGAAAAAAATTTCACTAAAGTTCAATTAAATTTCCATATTCAATTTTAGTTGAAAAAATTTTATACACTTTTTGCATTTATTTGTTTTCTGGGCTACACCTAGAGCTTCTCGGGGATCACTCCTGGCTCTGTGATCAGGGATCGCAGAGTTCAGGAAAGTAGGTTTGGTGCCAGGGATCAAATCAGGGGTGGCCACAGGCAAAGCAAGCATCTGGTCTATGGACTTTCTCTCTCCAGCTTCTCCAGTTCATGATTTTAAAGAAAATAAAAAACAACTCTATGATCTCTAGGATCCATATTTTGAGTTCTTTGTATGCATCTCTCACTTCTGACATATGAAGTTTCATTTAATGTTAACAGTCTTCATTCATACTTAGTAAAGTATTGCCTTGATTCAAAGTATTGCTCTGATATCACTTCTTTCCATGAAGACTTTTCCAATGTATATTTTCATTTGTACTACTCAGCAAGCAGAAGTAATTGTTCCTAGATTGGTGCATCTTTGGGTTCTACAGTTTAACATATAATTTCACTGAGATTGTCAGAAACTTACAGCGAATACAAAGACTGTTCTTACACACCTGATTCCTCATGAGTAGGAACCCTGTTCTATCAATCTATACCAATCTTGGTGCACAGTAGGAACATTTGTGTGTGTGTGTGTGTGTGTTCGTGCGTGCATGCGTGAGTGTGTGTGTGTGTGTGTGTGTGTGAGAGAGAGAGAGAGAGAGAGAGAGAGAGAAATATTTCTCAAACAAACCTTGCTCTGCCCTCATTAACTGCTGCCCTTTACCTAGCAGTCATGTTCTAGATACCAAGGAGTTGATCTTTTCCCCGAGTGGCCACGAACTTGTGAAATATGTAAGTCTGGCTTTCACTGCAAACTTTTAAACTGAATACTAGACTAACAAGTGAATACAACAATTGAGATCTTAAAGGATTTGTTATAGTATTACTCAAACAATATGGCAAATCTAGATAATTTTGTTTGGGGCTCACACCTGCGCTGCTTGGGTGCGACTACCAGCTTTGTACTTAGGGGGAACGCCTGGTGGTGCTGGAGTCAAGTGGTGCTGGGGATCAACCCGAGAGTGCCAGTGGTCACTCCTGCCCTCTGAGACATCACTCAGGCCCCAAAGCTAGATACAGTTTTTAAAAACTTAATACTGAGTTCCATTTGCCGATAAAAAAAAATGAGGCGAAGAAAAAAATAATTATTAGATGAAGGCAATGATAGGATTAAACCAAGGTCTAATTGTCTCACTACAAATCTTCAGGGTCAAGAATGGGAAGGGAACGATATAAAATATCAGCATCATGAACATACCACAAACGCTCAGTTCTATGACTGACAGTGCACTGGTTCTAACTTTTTACTCTTACAAGTAATATTGGTGAGCATGTGCTTCCAGTCATCTTTTTTGGAGTTTGTGTATACCAATCTTTTTTCCTTGTTGCTTTAGTGAGGCAAACTAAGAGGAGTGCATCAAACTTATAATTAACAAGGTTAACTGAAAAAACAACAAACCTCTGATCAGGAACGCCCTATTCCAACTCTTCCAAATTTCCCAATCTGGTGCTGGAGCGATCACACAGTCGGGAGGGGGTTTGCCTTGCACACAGCCTACCCGGGTTCAATCCCCAGCATCCCATATGTTCCCATGAACACTGCCAGGAGTGATTCCTGAGTCCAGAGCCAGGTGTGACCGCTGAGTATTACCAGGTGTGAATCCCCCCCAAAAAAGCCCAAGTTCCCCAATATTTAAAACCTCATGTTTAAATGAAGAGGGTAATTTAAAGAGTTGAAAATTGCTTTATATAATTCATATTTTTGTTTTAAAAATATTTCAGAAGGTTATTTTAGAATCTCTTAGCTGAGAGGCAGTTTTTCAACTTATTTTTCTATTTTGAATAAAGATATTTTCATTCATTTCTATTTTTCTTCCAATTTTTAGTTAGGCACCAGGATTTACTATACTGTTACTAACAGAATTTCAGGCACAGAATGTTCCAACTCCACAATCAGCACCAATGCCTGCATCCTTCCACCCATGTCTTAAGGTCGCTTCCCAGCCTATGACAGACTGTTCTGTAGGATAACTCTCAGGCTCTCTTACCATTAGTAAGTTGATATTTCCTTACATGTTACAGAATATTTCTACACATAGAATGTCATCTCTAGAATGTATGGCAGGAGTTTTTCTAGAAACTCACAGCAAGTCATTCAAATTTCAATTTAAAATGATTATCCTGAAATATTTTTCCCAATAAAGAGGCATGAAAAAGTGTATTCTTTGTTAAAAAATGTTGAATAGATATTTTTTATTTTACTTTATCACTCTCATCTTTTCTTTTCCCTTTCATTTGCTTTTTATTAATCTTTATATAAAAAATTAGCACATAAAATATTTTCTATACTTTCTTAAAATAACTGTTAAATAATAATGATGATTACAAATCTTACTACAGAAGTACACTTAAAATTCCATCTTTTCTGCAAATGTCTGTGCCACATTTATGGGGAAATACTAATAAGATTCTAAAAGACAGCTCTGCTTCAGACTGTGTAAATGTGCTGAAATATTAGTGAGGATATGATTTCTCACACTCTGGCCTTTTGATGAAACGCCTTTCCAGTACCACTGTGTCATCTTATCCTACAATTTCACACGTCAGCTGCCAGGGCATCTACCCGAGGGCCCAGTTTCACATTGCACTAATGAGTCAACACCTGTTAAGAGTGGAGAAATCTGAACCTTGTTAGCGATTGTGAAGCCTCCTGGGAATCTGGATGCTGAGCATTGTCATACTCACCGCCAGCATGTCTGTGCTGAGGACCCTGGCCGCAGCCGTGATGAAGTCCCCCACCAGCATCGAGAAGCCAGGCAGGCCCAGGGAGAAAAAACGGGGAGGGCAGTGCCGGATGATCATATTTAAGATATCCTGAAAGAGAAGATCAGAAAGCCCGATGGTCATTTTCAAGCACAAAAATCTAAAGTAGTCAGCACCTTAATATATATATATATAATATATATTAATATTATATGTTATATATAATATATATGATCACTTAATATATATATATATATATATGATCACTGTATAAACCAAGAGTACACGTCACACAACTTTTCACAGGAAGTGTACTGGGAGATGAGTTAGTTCAAGGGCTAATGCACCCATTTTACAGGACAAGAGAATGGTAGCCCTGAACCCTAAGACTAAAACACAGTTATTAGAGGCTTTTCTTTTGTCCGCCACCTAACAGTGAGCTCTCCAAGACAAGCTAGAGAAGAGGTTTTCCATACATAAATGGGACTTTTAAACGTCTATCACTAAAACAAGGAAGATATTTTCACTTCTGATTTCTATTACATTAAAAAAAGTTGCAAAGAGATGCAAGTTTTCATTCTTAGGGTGAAACTGTGCTAGACAATGAGAATGTGTGGCATGCTACAGCAATGCAGCAAGTCCTGCTCCAAGGGTGGGTGCCCGGGCTAGTTGCAGTCCAAGTGTGAAGCTGAGGCGGGTTCAAAGCACAGCAGTGGGCCTATGCGCAGTGTGCAACGTGCAGACCAGCTCGCCAGACTCCTGTGCTCCTATGCCTGCAGTGACCTCTCAGTGGTGGCTGCCGGCTTTCGGGCTGGTTCCTTAACTTCAACTCTGTTCTGAGTCACCTCATCCCAGCCCGTGGCAAACCAGGGCTCCACCACTTGATTCACCCACAGTTAGGGCACATCGCTGAAGCCATCAGTGCAAGTGTGTGTATACAGGGGAATTCATTTTTTTTTTTTTTTTGCGTCACACCCGGCGATGCACAGGAGTTAATCCTGGCTCATGCACTCAGGATTACTCCTGGCGGTGCTCGGGGGACCAATGGGATGCTGGAAATTGAACCCAGGTCAGCTGTGTGCAAGGCAAATGCCCTACCCACTGTGCTATTGTTCCAGCCCCCAAATTCTTTTTTTTTAAACAAACAAACAAACAAACCCCCACACAAACTCCTTGTATGCAGTTCTAGGCCATGCACATTAATTAAACATCCTAAAAGCACAGCAGTTATGTGACTGGGAGCTATAGGTTTATAGTCAGTCTCCAAGTATAAGTTAAAAAGATACTGATTTCTTTTCTGAAATATAAGTATGGATGAAAAATTCTTTAAAATAATCCTGGTGTAATTTAATTAATTTAGAGCCGGTAGTAGAAGCATATTAATAACGTAACTAATAATAACATTCAAATTCCTTAGTAATAAAAATAGCCTCATTTAATGATTTGCAATCTTAAATCAGAATTTGATTGTGTTCACAAAGCATTTTTTTCTAAGTAAAGGCATTTTTCCTTTTTCAAAGTGGGTTTATTTAGTTTCTATAACTCTCACTGCTACATACTGTATAATGCTTACTCTATGAGAGCTCATATGTAGTACACAGCAAGTACTGATTTAAGGTTTTAGCTTTTCAACAGATATTTTACCAAAAGTACTATACCAAAAATATTAAAATATTATACAGAAAGGCATATAGATATAGATAGATAAAAGGAAGAAAGGCAAAAAAAAAAAGGCCCAACCATATTTCTTTCAAGTTAATGTTTAAACCTGCTTTAATCATGTCCTTTGATACACGTTAGGGTCCATATCAGCCAAGGCAAACATTCTAAGGGGCTGAGCAGATGGGTGCTGCAGTTCCGAAAGTGTGTGGTAAACTCATGCTCCAAGAGTGGAACAAAAGATCCACCTTTTTCATAATTAAGCCTCTGATGAATGCCCTGGGCTCCTCACCACACACCTGTAATTACTCACAGAGGTACGCATTGTGCTGGGCCTTGTCTCAGAATATCAGGCATCAAGCTGGCCGGCAGCAGATGGAAGCACATTTCTGTTGACATATGCTGCAATGAAAGGATTCGTGCAAACCTGGCTAGCAAGGTAGCAGAATGCCATGCATCTGAAGATTAATAACGCAAACAACCAGGATGTTAACTTTGTTATGTTTGTGTTAATTCCATCTGGTGAAAGGAGGAACTGAGTCTTGAACCCTGCTGAAGGTTTAAAAAAAATCTTCAGCCGTACTTACATTAAGTAAGTCATTCTCACCCCTGCAATTTACAGTTTTAATTATAAAATTTTTTTTCCGGGAATGTTTTCATGGGAATTATTAACTGAATTCTTTAACATGGGAAGGCCAGATAATTTTTTCAACTTTTCTTATTGACTGAGGTTCTGTGATTTACAATATTGTTAATGATGAATGATATCCTAACTTTACACCCATCAACAGCATACTCGATTTTTAAAATTAATTTTGCTTTAAACAATTCAGATGTGTCAAGGCAATGGGGAATTCACAAAAATGACTAAGGGGCCACTGATGCTAAAGAGAGAAATTAGTGTCACCGGAATATAGTCACAAGACTCCCCACCCCCTGGCCCTTAGCCAGTCACTTCAACGGAACCTGTTTCTATGAGAAAGAAGATTGGAAAGAGTGGGCAAAATAACAGATGGCTAGCCTACCCTACTCTGCCACCCACAGACGACAGGGCCCTGAGGAGAAGCAGGCCTGTGCCACCGCGCCAGTCAGAGAGCACCAGGGAAGGTTAATAGGGGCAGAGTTAAACTGAAATACAGGGCCAATCAGTCAAATGGTGGTCATATGCTTGCTTCTGTTCCTAATCCACACAGAGGTAAAACTATCAAAAGCATATACCCGTGACAGCATTTAATAATAATAAATAATTAATAATAATAAGTAATAAAAGCAGGAATAACAAGGCTTCTGGAGAGATAGTAGAGCGGGTAAGGTGCTCGTTTGCCTCGCACGTGTTCCACTGGGTTCAATCCCTAGCACTCCATACGGTCGCCGAAGCCCTGCCAGGAATGATCCCTGAGCACTGAGTCAGGAGTAATCCCTGAGTATAGTGGGTGTGATGCAAAAACCAAATAAAATAAAACTAGGAAAAGGTACTCCAAAGACAGCAGCTGCATGTGCGCAATTGAGGATATCCCCAAAGAGCTCCTACTTTTTTCCACTAGAGTCCTGTTTCCGCCTTCCCTCTCTATTGCAATATTACAACTGTAGCTAGAACCTCTGGAGAAATAAAAGCTTTGAGACTCTGAGATTGTCATCACCATTTTTCAGGACTTTATATATAAACAGGATGCAAAGGTGCTTTCCAAACATCAATTACTCATGTACAGGCTTCCCCTCATATTTTTTTGTCATATCCACATCCAAAATAAACATCATTCATCTGTTCTTTTGTTACACTTTTTAAAACAACATAAGTAAGATTATTCTGGGAAACTAGTTTCTTGTGTCACAAACTCACCCCAGTCAATACAATTATAGTAACAGGTGGGCACTGCATTTTTTCTCCTATCTTTACCTGATGAACGCTCTTCTTATTTAAAAAAGGGATGAATTCTTGAGCTGTGGGGAGCAAGGCTTTGTACCCATTCAAGTTGGTCTACCTGAGATAACCAACAGGACAGACAAAGACAGAGGGTCACACTCCCACCAGGTGGTTTCATATTGTTACTCAGTGTTATCTCCATCGTGACCACAAGCAGAAAAAGCTCCAATCCTTACACCCTGGCCAGATGGAAAGAACTCCAGAACTAGGGCTCCAGAAAATCAGTTCAAGGCCACTGCCTGTGACCTTCGGAAGCTCGCATCATGACTAGAGCTATATAGTTATCTTCCATAAAATATTACAATTTCCTCTTACAGTATTGTGGATAATGGTCTAGAAGCTACAAACACATACCTCTGTAAAATGAAAGGGTCCATCCAGAAGTAAACAGGGACAAGTAAAAAAAAAATTAATCTTTTTCAACAAGGGAGTTTTGAGTATTTTACTTCCTAGAATTTACTTTCTAGGTTTAAATCAGAAAAGTATAAATATATTTGTATATTAATATAGATATCTAGAAATCATAGAAAATATATCAAGATAAATAAAAATATTTTAAAATAAATTTAAAAAATTTAAATAAGCCTTTTAGATTACATAAACCTTGAAATAAAAAAAAAACACCTCTGTAAGTTAATGCTCTCAAATAACATCCTTAGCAAAACATTTTAGCAATTAGCTATAGTGTATATACTAAGGCAAATAATGAAATAAAAACAGGAAAATAATCTTTTCGACTTTTCAGGTTATATTTTTTGAAGAAGTTCTAGAATTTATCCTGAGCAAGAAAGTCTAAGAACAAAAATTAGTGGTGTGGCAGTAATCTCAGGTGCACTTGGGGTGGGAGGAGATTTTTTGTTTAAAGAATGAAGATTCCCAGGGAGGCACTGAGTAATTTATTTTCTGAAAAAGAGGGCAATAGGCCAAAGAAGTTTGGGAACCCCTGAGTAGAGCCTAAACAGACCAAAAATAAAAACAATAAAAAACTCAACTCTAAAATAGGAATTAAGTTGATTTTTTTTAATTGACCAATATGAAGCATAGACAAAACTCCTTCATATGCTTTTGTTGAAAGAAAATAAAATCTTCTGCAAAATGCTGGAATATTGTGAATGGATCTCAGAATAAATAGTTTTCTCTCATTTTTTGTTAGATGTTTCCAGACATGCTACCCACAGAGTGCGAAAAATAGATTCTAAGATGATAATTGTGAATTTGCAGCTTATCAAAAGATTCAGGTTTATGAGAAAGTAACTGGTGAGAACATCTGTCCCTTATCACTGATTTTTAAAAAATCAGGTAATTCAAACAGAGGCGTGTTGTTTCCTCTCCTCTAAAGCACAGTTCTATAAACACAAACTGCATTCAGCCTGGTAAATGAATCGCTTTAATTGAATGCTATGTACACAGTAACTGGAAAAACCATAAGTGATAAGAAAAACATATGGTGATAGCAATAGAAATTGGTTTATTCATTTTGCATAGTGTTGTTTCTTTAGTTCTTTTATAATTGACCTTTAGAATGATA